GCTCCTTTTAACTTTCCAATCAAAGGTTACACGCAGGGGTGTCAAACTGGCAGCCCTCCAGCTGTTGCAAAACTACAAGTCCCATCATGCCTCTGCCTCTCAGATTCATGCTTATAACTGTCAATCTTGCAATGCCTCATGGGACTTGAAGGTTGACAACAGCTGGAGGGCCGCCAGTGTGATACCCGTGGGCTACAGAATGAGGACTGTGCTCACTGTGGGTTTGCAGTTTGTGTTATCTCCTAGAGTTTATTTACAGCCAAGATTTTTTTTTTTTTTAGGGTGGAGATTGGTTAGTAACCCTGACAGCTATTTTTATTGCTATCTCTGTTCCTGTTGGACAATCTCACTCTGTTTTTCCTGGTGACTACTGTTACTGGGACTGAAAGCAAGTAAAACTTTTGAGTTATCACTGGAACAGTAATAGAAGGACAGTCTTCCAATGGAATACCTGCTGGGGTGACAGCTGAAGCTGGCCATACACTGATCAAAATTATGACCAGTTCAGCAGGAACCAGGTGAATTTCGATCAGTGTGTGGCCATCCCTGTTTGGCAGACGTCGATCGCTTGAGTGGATGGAGGAATCTGTCAGATTTATTTTCCATTCAGCTCACTGGCTGAACAGAAACAAACAACTAATAGTGTATGGCCAACTGTCTATAGAAAGAAAGTTAAGGAGTATCTCCCCAATGGGCCAAAGATGGGAAAAACTGACCATGGTTTGAACTCTACCTTACTCAGTTCAGAACGTAAGGTTATGGTGTTAGTTATACATTAATTACCTAGTAGATAGCATTTATGCATGTCTGAGAAATGTTTGCAGGAGTACTGTATAGTGGGATTCAAAAATGTTGGATGTTGTTTTTTACTTTTGTATAATTTTTTTTTAAACATATAGTTTTCGAGGTTGTTCATGGTAATATTTACTCAACAACACAGCGTAAACAAAAATAAAAACATATCACTTATACATTCCGTACTTTCATCTTTGACGTCCCTGTCTTGTCCATAGGTCAAAGTTGATCAAATTATCTGCCCAGGATTAAGTCCACCACTAATGACTCTGTGGATCTCCCTAAACCCTATAAATGTTATTTTTTTTATTAACAATATGGTCTAGTTAATGTTTTTGCGCACAATACATCATTCATGTGTCAAAGTGTAAAACTTTTTTTTGGTGATAATCCAACAAAAACTATTTTTAAATTTTTTTTACAGAAAACAGCTATTGGTGGCTGCCTCATTAGGCCTTTAAAATGTCTCCAAACGCAGTCATTAAAAAAAACAGTTATTCTTTCTTTTCAGATTTCTTACTACTGATTGTGTAATAGCACTTGTTGCATTGTAAGCACAAAGAAAAATATGTATTAACATGCACAATTGGATGATCAAGTACACTGCAGTATTTTTAAATGCATGTTGACATTATTCAATAGAAAACACATGTACCTAAAAATAGAGGTAATTACAGATACAGCTTCAGCGCACCTTTGAAAAATCTCTTTTTTTTTTTATAAAAGAAAGTCATCTTTTCTGTTTTTCTGTTGAACAATTGCCATATGTTTATGATGATGCTACTACGCCCCTACAAAAATCTTTTTTACATTAAAAAAATGTTTGAATTTCATTGTCTGGCGACTTTGCATGGTCAGTGGGCCAACGTCAGTGCTGTCCTGCGGTGCTATTGCAATATGTATAAAAATGATCTCTGGTAAACCCTTTGAACTAATCTGATAATGGCTTTCTTGATGCTTCCCTTATTCTCAAATGTCCTCTGGCTCAGTGGAATAAAAAATTCCTATCTTAATTGTGTAGTACAAGAATATGACTTTATAGACCTTGGGTTTAATGCAGGCTACTTTCAGGTGATTGGACACTGGCAAAAACATGCTAGGGCCGCTCCTATTGCACACTCATATTACACCACTCACTCTGTGAGACTTCAGTTTTCTGCTGGTGTTCTTAGGTGATAGAGCTATTCTAGGCTGATGTATTCTTTTTTTTAAATCATTTAATTTTTCTAATTGTGGCCTCCTTTGATGCAATTCCCTTTGCCCAGTTTCACTCCATACCTCTTCAATCCAACATACTCGTGACATGAAACAAACCTATCCATTCCTTGAATTGCTCATTTCTTCTATCCAGCCAGACAAAGCTCTCTCTGACATGGTGGCTCTCCAATCCTACCTTGGAATTGGGAAAGTCGGTCCTTCACTTGCCTTGGAAGTTGATGACAACAGATGCCAGTTTCACAGGCTAGGGTGGGATTTACAACTCTGTCTAGGGGGCATGTTCTCCAGAGGAGTCAAAACTACCCATCAACATTGTGGAGCCGAGAGCCATCAGAATATCTCTAAAACATTGGACTTCCCTTCTGCAAGGTCACCAAGTGAGCATGCAATCAGATTGTGCCACAGCAGTGGCCTACATAAACCATAAGGGGTAACCAATATATTATATTCTTCCTTGCAGTAACATGCGCACTACCTCTCTCAGCCTTCGATATCCCAGAAGTGCACAATTGGCAGAGAGACTTCCAAAGCCATCAATGCGTTGACTCAGGGGAGTGGTCTCTTCACCCCAAGATCAAAGGAGAGGAAAACCAGATGTGGACATCCTGGCCTTCTGGTTCAACAACAAGCATAACGTATTTTTAGTCAAGACCAGGAATTCTCTGGCCTTCATAATAGATGCTCTAAATATCCTTGGTCTCTTTTAAACAGACAAGACTTACTGGCACAAGGACCACTGTTTCATCCTCCCTCTCATTTGCTGGATTGTACATTATGGCTGAACTAAGGGAAGAGAGTATTTCTGATTCTGGTATTCCCACCTTACTCAGAGCAAGATAATCCAACTCCCACTAGTTTTGCTGTTGCACATCAAAGGCTTAGGCCGGCCATACATGGAAAGAAATTCATTCGGTTCTGCAGGGACCAGACAAATTTTGATCCAATTGACTTCTATACAACTGTCCTGTTGGATTTTTGCTGCTCAATCAGTGCTGCTGGCTATAGCTGGCAGTGCTGATAAGTGTATTCTGATGGTGTGAAAGACTCCAAGCTGTCAGAATACAAAGGCTCAGTGGGGAGGATTCCCCTATCCACATCAAATGTATGAATAGGGGAATTGAGTAATTGTTTCATTCAACCTTCTGGTTGAAAAAAAAAAAATGACTCATCTATGGGCTGCTTTACTTTTCATGGTGCAAAGGCAGACAGTTGAAACCTAGGGAATTTGATTTTAAGCCTAGCCTTGTCCAGCATCTGGCATTGAGTACACTCAAGGGATAGATTTCTGCTTTATCAATCTCCTATCAAGATTTTCTTTAGGGAGTTGCTCATTCAAATCCCCCAATTTGACCTCTTGTTTCAGTTTGGATTTTAACCCAGTTCTCTCTGTACTTGTTGCTCTTTTTAGCTGATTAGAGGTATTCCTTTTGAAGACTTCCCTTGTAATGTTGCTGCCCTGGACACTATCAGGTCTTTTAGAAGTAATTCTGAATTGGCAGTTTCTTGCAAAGAGACTTTTCTTGTTTTGCATGGGGACAAAGTGGTTTTGAGAGCAATACCTTCCTTTCTAGTTAAGGTGGTCTCTCCTTTCCAACTCAATGTGGCCATTGTGACCTTCCCTTTGTTCCAGTCCAAAACATGACATGGAATTCCCTTCCCTTACATTTTCTGTACGTGGTCAGAGCTGTCATGGCCTACTCGGCAGCCACAGCCTCTGTTTGAAAGATTGGGTCCCTCTTTGTTTTGCCTGAAGATCCTCTTAATGGACATCCTGCTTCCCGATCTACTATTTCTAGGTGAATCAGACAATTTATTTTCAGGTCTTACTTCCTTAAGGAAAGGGATCCATCCTCCCTATCAAAGCTCATTTCACCAGGGCTGTTGATGACTCGTGAGCTTTTCAGCATCAAGCATCTGTATCCCAGATTTGCATGGTCACCACATGGTCCTCTGTTCACACATTCCTTAAGTTCTACCAGGTCAATGTTCAGACCTTAGCTGATTTTTGACTACAAGGTACTTCATCCTGTTATCTGAGTGTTTTTTTTGGGTTCTTTAACCTTTTAACTCTTTTGTTGGCAGTTCTGTTTGCTGTGTTGTTGCCCACCCATCATGTTATTGCTTTGGGATGTCCTGTGGTCTATGAATACAAGTCCTGTGTCCTGTATTGTGTGATTAAGATAAAAGGAGTTTTGAGTTACACATAAATGTCTTATCTCGAAGTACCATACAGGACAAAGGCTCCTCCCACATCTGTCTTGATCACTAGTTATTGCTTGCTAAAAAACTGTAAATTTGCATATAACCCATTGTCTATGAATACAAGTCTTGTGTCCTGTACTGTATTCTAAGATAAAGTATTTAATATTTACAAGTAAGTCAATTTCCTGTTTTATCATTGTTTACCGCAACAGTATTAGCAAAATATTCTTAAGTGAGTTTTTAAAAAAGGCTAATTGCATATGTAATTAGCAAATACCAATATGATAAAGCACAAAGTAATTATTACAAAAATGATGATTGACACTGACACCCAGCCTCGCATATTACACTGGGAGAGCAACTTCCATCAGTGGAGCTTTTTCTGCAACTTTGGTGGCTGATCAACTGCATTCTGCATATTGGGAGCCCTATCAATGTTGTTGATACACATTACAGAGCAAGGCCGACTGTCAAATCGACAGTGGAGCTTCACTGATTACTCAGGGAGAGCTACTGCAAGGTTCAAGAGACTGCTAGAGCCAGAACAGGCTCTAGTCCCAGCTGTGTTTAGCTCCCATTCTAATGCCAGATGCAGGCGTCTCTTTTGTCTCTGGATCGGCCCAGCTCTAAGAACAAGTATAGTTGAGTCCTACTACTAGCTTTGCATGAGGTTCCTCTAGTTTATGCTGTGAAAAAAACATTTGTGTGTAAGTCATTTTACTATTCAATTTGCCCATTTTCACATAATTATTTCTAAATGTTATTTGTTTTTCTTGGCAATGCAGTGGGTCACGTCATTCAGGAAGCCCTTCATCACAATGTCCTAAAAACAGTGGAACACTGGATAGTTCAAAAGTGTACATTGTTCCCCATGGTGGTATGCAGAAGAAGTCTTTCCAAAGGCAGGAGTCTCTGAGTAAATATGTAATTGGATGGAAGAAGTCTGAGGATAGTTCTCCAACTGGAGAATGTGATACAGAATGTCAGGGGTAAGAAATATTAATTTGATATGTACTGTTTACTTATGTGTTTTATGAATTTCTTACATAGTTTTTAGAGTTCCACCATTTATAAGAATGAGGGTGTATGTTATATGTGCTCTGTTTGAATGTTTATGTACTATAAAATGTTTAAATTATGTACAACTGCTCCAGACCAGCCAAACACTAATAGAGTTGTGTGTCTCACTTCCTGGTCTCCGGCACAACCATTATTCACTATGCTGGTAATAATGGAAATGCATACAATGTACTTTAACATCACCCAGTTTTGGATCTGTTTACACTCTGTCCAACAATGCGTTTTTCTCAGAAGACAATACCCATAGACTGTCTTTGACTAAGCTCTTACCAGGAAACACCTCTGATAGTGAACCTGGATGCAGCTTGATAAGATCCAAAGTACAAGAATAATGTTGGACCTTTTGGTCACAAGGTCACCTGACCAGGGTTCAGCCAGACAATCCCACGGCAGTGGCCTTCATCGATCATTTGGGAGGCACCAGAAGTCATGTAGCTCAAAGGGAAGGGGGCCTCATTCTAGCTTGGGTGGAACTCTATGTTCTAGACCTGTCCAGAGTACACAGTCCAGATGTGGAATATTGGCAGGCTTTCTCAGTCATCTGTGCTGCCAAGAGAATGGTCTTTTAACGGAAAGGATTATCAAGACTTCTGTCATAGGTGGGGGCACTAAGCATAGACCTTCTGGCATCCAGGTTTAACAACAAACTAGACAGTTTTGTCACCAGAATAAGAGATCCTTGGGCCTTTGCATTGGATGCCCTTGGTCACTCCATGGGATTAGTTCAACTTGATCTATGCTTTTCCCCAAATAAAATTATTTCCTTGTCTTCTCTGCAGCATTGACAGGGTGGGAGTTGAGATGATCCTCGTTGAACCAAATTGGCCCTGGAGGAAGTGATACTCAGACACACTCAAACATCTGGTGCACACTCTGTGTGCCCTCCCAGATTGTCCAGATCTTCTGTTCCAGGGGCCAGTCCATCATCCTGCTTCTAGGTTGTTGGCTTGCACAGCTTGGCTTTTGAAGCCCAGATTCTGAAGGACAGGAGCTTATTGGATCTGGTCATCCTTGTGCTCCTGAAGGCTAGGAAGTCAGCTTCTGACAAAGTCTACCATTGCATCTGGAATACTTATTTACCATGGTATGATGCTAGGAAATTCCATACCAGTAAGTAGTCAGTGGGATGATTCATGTCCTTCCTCTAATTTGGTCTGATTCAGCATTTAGACTTGAGTGATATCAAGGGTCAGATTTCGGCCATAATTTTTTTCCAAATGCTGCATATTCGTTGTTAAATGCCTTTGTGCAGGGTATTGTCCAAAGTTTTGTCCAAAGTAACATCTTAGTAGTGCATTGTGTACCATTTCTGGTACTTTATGGAAAATGTCTTTGTAATATACAGCATGATTTAAAGATAAAGAACTACATTTGAGAATATTTAGATGTTATCTTTACAATGAATAGGTTATTAATAAAATGTGTATATTTATCCAGTGAAGAGGACTTGTCTTCATCCAGTTTGCTGCAGAATTCAGGCATTGAAGAAGAAAATGAGCACCAGCATGTCTTGCCAAAAGAAGATTTCCTGAACTTGATATTGTCTGACAGTCCACATACTGAGGAAGAAAAAACAAAGGTATACAAAATAATATATATAGTACAGTATAGTTCAAATATATTGCAGAAGCATGAAGACATTTACAAACTTGAAAGTGAACAGGGGCATCTTCCATAGAAGTAGCAATAGCATGGAACATGTCATTCCTAACATATGGGCTGCTTAGCCAGGTACTATACACAAGTACAGCTCCTCCTATATGCAGAAAAAGCAGTAAACTTCACTAGGTATGCTTTCATGGTGCTCATTTTTGGTAAGCTGCAATATAATATGTTTTGGGTTTAATACCTACTGCTTTTGAAATGCCATAGATAGGTAAGTAGCAACATCCACATCAAACTGAATATGAATTAAAGCATATGTAAACCCAAATGTTGTGCCCCCTGCGCTTATTCAATAGAACGTGGGCACCCTATTACACAAGTATGTTACAGGCCATATGACCAGATGTAAAACTTATGCCATAGTCTAGGCTTTAAGTATAGCAACAACCACATCAAAACTGAATCGCTGTAAAGCATGATGTAGACTGCGCAGAATAGCTCAATATCATATAGAAAAAATGTTCCTCCTGCACTCTGGAAAAAAAAACTCTGTGTATTAATTTAACCGCTTGCCTACAGGGCACTTATACCCCCTCGTGCCCAGGCCAGTGTTTTCAGCTTTCAGCTTTCAGCGCTGTTGCACTTTGAATGACAATTGCGTGGTCATGCAACACTGTACCCATATGAAAATTTTATCAGTTATTTCACACAAACAGAGCTTTCTTTTGGTGGTATTTAATCACTACTGGATGTTTTATTTTTTGCACTATAAACAAAAAAATAGCAAAAGATTTGAAAAAAAAAGTTTTCCTTTGTTTCTATTATAAACTTTTGCAAACAGGTAATTTTTCTCCTTCAATGATGTGTGTTCAAGAGGCTGCACTGATAGGCAGCACTGATGGGCACTGAAAGACAGCACTGATGAGGTGGCATGGATAGGCAGCACTGATAGGCTGCACTGATGAGGCGGCACTGATAGGCTGCACTGATGGGCACTGGTGGGAGGCACTGATAGGAGGCACTGCTGGGAACTGGTGGGTGGCACTGCTGGGCACTGGTGGACGGCACTGTAGGGCATTGATCATCAGTGCCGATCTCCTCTGATAGCTGCCGGTTATCGGCAGTACTTTCCTCACACTGTGACAGAACTGGGTAACCGTGCTGTAGCCATCATTTGGCTATAGCGTAGTTACCAAGTGGTTAATGAAGATAAAAGTCATATCCAACTGCCTTAGCACCTCCCATTAACATGTTTTGCCTACAGGTGAGCTTAAAGAGGAGCTCTAGTCAAATTGGTGTTTATTAAAAGTCAGCAGCTACAAACACTCACCCCAGCCGTTCTTTACATTGCTGTCCTTTCCCTGGTGCCTGAATCTCAATTGTGGGCACCTGGCTGTGACAGCTTGCGGCTTACAGATGGATTCCCACTGCGCATGCGCAAGCTGCTCTGTGCTTTGCGAATGGTCCCGCAGTCTTCCGGGACCTGCCACGTGTCCCTGAAGACTTGGGGAGGGAGAAGGGGAGGAGAACTTCTGCTCCAGTGGCCTAGGTGGTCAGAGCAGAAGTGGGAATGGGTAACTGTCAAAACTAGGCACCTGCTCCCCCCCTCAAAAAGAGTACTATTAATCACTTCAATACCGGGCAGTTTTACCCCCTTCCTGCCCAGGCCAATTTTCAGCTTTCAGCGCTGTTGCAGTTTGAATTACAATTGTGCAATCATGCAACACTGTACCAATATGAAATTTTTATAATTTTTTTCAAACAAATAGAGCTTTCTTTTGGTGGTATTTAATCACCACTGAGTTTTTTTTATATTTTGCTACATTAAACAAAAAAAAACCTGAAACTTTTGAAAAAAAAAAAAAAAACAAAACACATTTTTCTTTGTTTCTGTAATACAATTTTGCAAATAAATAACATTTCTTCGGAAATTTAGGTCAAAATGTATTCTGCTACATTTCTTAGGTGAAAATACTCAAACTTAGTGTATATAGAGTCCACAAACCATGTTATATATATATCTGACAATCGATCAATCCTGATGTACTGACAGTCCATCTCATTTCTTGAGACCCAAAAACTCCAGAATAGTCCAAATACCCCCAAAATTACAGATTTTTGGAAAATAGACAGTTAAAGGTATTTAGTAAGAGGCATGGTGAGTTTTATTGGAGTTTTAAATTTTTTGTTACAATTTTTTGGAAAATTTAGAAATTAGAAAAAAACAAAATCACAATTTTTTTTTCTTACATATTATCACCAGTCCAGTACAGCATTATTATATAACTGGTGTGGTGATGATCAGAGACACTGACTGGTGACAGTATCTAAGAAAAAGAAAATTTTTTTTTTTTTTTAAATTTTTCTAATCTTTTTTTTTTTTATTACATTATTTTTTCTTTTTTTTACTATTTTTTTTTTCAAGGCACTGTGACCAAAGCAATACAATGTTACTATAGTAACATTGAACTACTCTGGGCAAGTGATCAGGATTTAAATTTTTTATAACACATTATGATTGCTAATAACAATATATTTCATTGATATTTGCAATCATTGTTCCTGAATGAAACTGATTCATTCAGTCTTTTGTTGTGACTAGCTGTGATTGGGCAAAGCTCATCACATGATACAGATGGGCTATGATTGGCCCTGTCTGCACCATGTGACTGCTTTGACCAATCACAGCTAACAACACAATGGATGACATGACAGGAAGCCATCCATTGTATACAATTGACATGTATCCTGTGATGCGTCACAACAGTCACATGACACTGGCAACGGGCCGGTGTAGTGATATGTCAGCAGCTGTGTCCCGTGGACACAGCCGGTGACAGATCGCGCCACTGTGCGACCCCACTGCCACGTGAGTGGCTCCTTTAAACAGGGCGTTATATGACGCCCAGTCACAATGAGGAGTGTCCTGCCCGGCCTATAGCAGATTGACAGCCGGGCGGTGTTAAAGAGGAGGGGGGAAGGAGGCCTTAAAGTGGAAATTCCCCTTTTGAGTGGAGCTCCTCTTTAAGAAATCTTACACGTCATAATTATAAGGCCGCTGGGGATGCTACAATCCACTGCTGTAGCAATCACTACATACCGTAAGCAGTGCCTTCTTCCTGGGCTTCCTGGTAGGTCAGGATCAACTTCCTTCTGCTGCCAGAAACAACATTCCGTTGAATGGCCCTGCCCCTCCATCATTCAGGGACCACCTAAATTTTGGTCAGTGAGTACTAAGCAGGTTCTGTTTGGCAGAGAGAAGTGGTCTATGGCAACACAATCTCCACTTCAGTCAATCAAAGCCCACCTAGTATTAATGGACAAAAATACAAGGCTGTTCCTGAGTGGCAGAGGGACAGGAACAAAGGGGAGTTACTCCTACCCCTCTGGAAGAAGACATTCTTATCTTATCTTGTAAAGCAAACGATACTACAGTGAATTTCAGCATCCCCAGTGGACATACAGGTATGACGTGTATGATTGAGATCGGTTTTAGCCAGACTAATCCACAATAAAACTGTCATGTGAAATTATTCCTTGAGTACTTGTGTAAATATATACACAATCATTAAAACAGTTCCTAATACTTAGGCTATACAGACTTTTTAACAATAGGCCTTACATGGGTTTATACTCCAGCTCAGAATCCATCAAAATGTATCAAATTATATGTTTCCATCAACCCCCCTCCTCCTCCTATTAAGATCATGACAGCTTTAGAAATACTATTAGGAAATCCCAAAATATGTATTCACACTTCTAAGCCTTTGAAAATGAAAGATAAAAAAAACATGAAACTACCCCAATTCAATGTCTAAACTGATATTAATGGAAATTGAAATAATATAATTGTAATTCTTATGATAAACAGAGAATGGATATGACAAGAAGAGAGAAACAAACCATTAAGTATAATAATGGGAAACTTCCTATTCATAATTTAATCATGATGGTAATCTTGTAATTAATGTAAAAATCCAAAACACTTTTTCAATAACAAAGCAAATATTACACCTTCTCTTTCTATCATATGTACTCTTTCAGTTATTTAAATACTTGATGAAGATGTCCCTGAACTGTGTGACTTTGTGAAATGTTTAGCTATGTTAGTATCCTCCTAGTGTTTATATCATGCATGGTTTCAGAACCTATTACAAAGTCCTCTGGTCATCTGACCTACATACTGTACCCTGGATTTCACAAAGTGTAACACTTACATTATATATCTGATATTACAATCTATGGTCAATAGTATGCACAACACGAGCATTTCGGAAACTCACATCTATGCATCCCATGTTCTCAACAAATTACCTATGGGCTTCTTTGTTCTGAACATACAGAGAGAATTTCCCAAAGTTTTAGCTGTCTTATGCGTCACATACCGTATGCCTCCGCTCTATTTTTTTTTAATTGATTGTGTCAGCAGGAGCCTAAAGCAGAGCATTTGGCTTTGTAATCTAAAATATCATGTATTTTTTTCATGTTTAACTACTTCAATACCAAGTACTATTACCCCCTTCCTGCCAAGGCCAATTTTCAGCTTTCTGCACTGTCACACTTTGACAATTGCATGGTCATGCAACACTGTATCCAAATGAAATTTGTATCATTTGTTTTCACCCAAATAGAGCTTTCTTTTGGTGGTATTTAATCACCACTGGGTTTTTTATTTTTTGCTAAATACATGAAAAAAGACCAACAATTTTGAAAAAAATAACAAAGTTTTCTTTGTTTCTGTCATTTTCAAATAAATAATCTTTCTTCATAAATGTTATGTCAAAATGTAGTCTGCCACATTTCTTTGGGAAAAATAATTCAAATCAGTGTATATTTTTTGTCTGCTGTAAAAGTTATAGAGTTCACAAAGTATGGTATATACTGTATATCTGAGAATTGATCAATCCTGATGTACCAATGGCCTCTCTCATTTCTTGAGATGCCAGGATAGTACAGGTACCCCCTAAATTATCC